AGCGAAAGAAAGCGAAAAGAAGAGCGAGAAGAGAGAGAGAAGACGAGAGAGGAGCGAGAGAGCCGAGAGAGCGCGAGAGAGAGCGAGAGAGAGCGAAAGAAAGCGAGAGAGAGCGGAGAGAACGAGAGAAGACGAGAAACAGCGTGAGAAAGCGAGAGAGAGCGAAAAAAACGAGAGAGAGCGAGAGAAGACGAGAGAGAGCGAGAGAACGCGAGAGAGAGCGGCAGAGAGCAAGAGGGAGCGAGAGACAGCGAGAGAGGGCAAGAGAGAGAGCGAGAGAGAGCGATACAAAGAGAGCGAGAGAGAGCGAAAGAAAGCGAGAGAGAGCGAGACGGAGAGAGCGAGAGCAGCGGAGAAAGCGAAGAAAAAACCGAGAGAGAGTGAGAGAAGACGAGAGGGAGCGAGAGAGGCCGAGAGAGCGCGAGGAGAGAGCGATAGAGAGCGAAGAGAGCGAGAGAGAGAAAGAAAGAAGCGAGAGAAGGAGAGAAGCCGAGAAGATGAGAAAGCAGAGAGAGAGACCGAGAGAGAACGAGAGAGAGAGAGAGAAGAGAAGCGCAGAGAGAGCAGAGAGCGACAGAGCGAGAGAGGAGAGCGAGGAGGAGAGAGTGATCAAAGAGAGAGCAAGAGAGAACGAAAGCGAGAGAAAGCGGGAGAGACGAGAGAGAGCGAGAAACAGCAGAGCAGAGAAAAAGAACAACGAGAGAGAGAGAAACTAGAGATAGCGAGAAACGAGAGAGAGAAGAGAGCGCGAGAGAGAGAGACCGAGACCGAAGAAACGAGCGAGAGAGCGAAGCGAGAGAAGGAGAGAGAGCGAGAGAGAAAGAGAAGAGAAAAGAGAGAAAGCGAGAAAGAGCCGAGAGCAGAGAGAGAGAGCGAGAGAAACGCGAGAGAGAGTGGGAGAGAGCGAGAGAACCGAGAGAGAGAGAGAGCGAGAGAACGCGAGAGAGCGGTAGAGAGCAAGAGAGAGCGAGAGACAGCGAGAGAAAGCGAGAGAGGGCGAGAGAGAGCGAAAAAAGACGTGGGAAAGCAAGAGAGAAAGGGAGAAAAAGGGGGGAGAGAGAGGGGAGAGAGAGGGGGAAGAGAGAGAGAGAGAGTGAGAGAGAGAGAATTTAAAATTCGTTTGGTTGCTTAAAAACTTAAGCAGCTGAGGAAAATGTCACTATACTAGGATGGGTGACCGCGGATAAGGTAAAGCAGCTTCGGACAGAATCACTTTGTCGGGATGGGTGACCGCGGACAAGTACGACGCCGTAGTCTTAAAAAAAAGTGACACCTTTTTGACCAAAAAATAACTTGAAAAATTCATATCTCCGCAACCAATAGAGCTATCAAGTTCGTTAAGGTCTCATTTTACTCGGAAAAAATCGCGCTTTCGATTGATAGATCATCTTTTGAAAAATATGTTTCCGTTTTTGAAATATTTCAAATTTTTTGTTTTCAAGGTTCCGAAAATCGTGTTACGTCCGGTAAAGGATACACAGTAGCGTCCTACGGATAATTTTCGCTATTGTTTCGATATTTTCGCTATCTTTTCGATATCTTTCGATATATATATTTGTTTTTTTGTAGATTGTATTTTAATTTGACGAATGAAAGATATAACTTAGCGAGACGCTACCGCGTCTCCTGATATTACAAGATTACTCAGAATATAGTATTTTCTTATTTTTCTCAAATATGCTTATTAGCATATCCTTACATATCGTTATACTTAAGAGAAAATAATAAATAAGTTCTTTTTAAATTGTCGTCTAATTTATTGTATTAAAACACATGTTAGATTTTATAACTATTAATAAGATCATATTTTTAGTAATTACAAAATCTAGAATATATATATATATATATTTGATATTTTTAATATATATAAATAAATTTAAAAAAAAATTATTTATTGACAAATTGGAGAGGAATTAATTTTGAAAGTAGATATACGCCTATGCGTTTCATGAAAATCAAGTATTACTATAATCTATAACGCTTATAATTTGTTCTTTGAATAATTTATATATATATTGGTTTCGAATTTGGCTATATATATATATATATATATATATATATATATATATCACTGTTTTGACTATATATATATCGCATCATGGCGCTTGCATCGATGCTTCTACCCTAAGCTGACAAGTGAACAATAAATACGTGTACGGTCCATTGCGATGATACCAGAGTGTGACGCAGAGTGTTGAAATGCGTATATCATCTGTAGTATTTTATTATATCTGAGGTAGGTATTTATAGTTGAAATACATTTAGTTTCCGCAGAAAGGATTTAATTCGCACATACCTTTGAGCTTATAACAAATATATTGGTTTGTCAACTTCGAATTCGTCACTGCTGCGGACACTCGCCAGAGCGACGCATAACCTAATTTCAGACTTTGTATTTCAGATTTCGTATTTGATTAATATCATCGATATTTGTGCTTTCATAACAAGTTTGTTATATCACAAAAGATTATATTAAGAGTGTCTGTATCTAGCCCGTTTGAGGAATCATAAGTGCCATTAATAAAAATACGAGAGAAGAAAAAATATATATATATAATGGCTGATCTTCCAGTAAGTACACATTTTGTCTTTTTTTATTACGTTTCTTTATTGTAATAAGGAAGTACAATAATGATATCGACATTACTGTTCGATCATCTATTTTTTAATAATTCCATTGCGTGTATGACTTATAAAACTAAAAATTATATAAAATAATAAATTCAATGTCAAATAAACTTCTTTATTGTACTGAGAAAAATTTCATGTATATATATCAAATACCTTTTTTAAATTCTGTCTGGCGTTTCTTAAATATCTACGTTCTTATATATATCAAATGTTATATCTATTATAGATGCAGCTCTTATCTAATATGTATTGATAATGTTTTGGTATATAAAATATATATTTATATATTATTTATATATTATTTAATTTTATTTTAGTAAATGACAATTAAATGTATGTTATTATGTTCAAAAATCATTTTTTATAATTTACGATATAAAAATTGCCAAATCAATTGTATAATATTAGAACCTTATCGTAATATATTATGCAATATTTTAGACTGTTGCATTGAGCAGATGTATCGTGAAGAATGATCTTCTATACTATACTAAAGATTTCCTTGTTCTTTGTCTTGTTTAACGTTTCTTACTTCTAATGTTTGCAGTGGCGGATTTTGGTTTCTGCCGCCCCTAGGCTAAATCAAATTTGCTGCCCCTTAATGACAGTAGAGCAAGGGGAAATTTTTTTATTTATTAAATAAGAAATTGATAATAAAATAGGAAACGGGTATCTTATATATAAGATTCTCTGAATAATAGTAAATAACACACTCCATTAATTTTAAAAAATCTTTTTTGGAATATAAAATAATCAGCTTAAATCTTAAACTTAACTTAAACTAATCTTTGGAAATCAGGAACTACATTAACAAAACAATTTTCTTGTTTAAAAAAAGAATATCAAAGTTTAAAAAAAATGTCGCCTCGCTTTTATTTTGGCAAACGAATGAATAACGTCATCAAAAGATATTCTTGACATTATTTCCGACTCAATTGACAGAATTGCCGATGCGTTTAATCTATCTTTTGACAATGTAGATCGCAAGTAATTTTTTATTCGTCGTAAGCACGAAAATGAACGTTCAGCCGTACAGTTTGAGGATGCTTCAGTTCTAAATATTCTTGCTGCAATATTCACATTCGGATACACATCGTATAAGTCATTTTTATACATCCATGTGCATATATCTTGCACTGACACGGATATATTTTCGGGCAAGAGTAATTGTTCACGCAAATGTAAGAATTCTTCAACAATACTGACTTCAATATCATCTGGAAAGCTTTCACAGACGCGGATAGCATGTTTTCTTATTTCTGCTGAACTCAACTCTCTTAATTTGATGAGCACAATGAATCTATCATATATAATTTCATATCCAGAACACCGTTTTTCTAATTCAGTTCGTAAACTATCTAAAATTACGAGGAATGTTTCAATTCGAAAACGATCTCTGCTGCTGAACGTTTCATCAGCATCGCCATCTCGTGATTCGTCAAGTTGCAATTTTCTTTTCTTTATTCGGGATTTACATCTTTCATATTTCTGCTCATTTGACAATAATTTCGCTTTGTTCTCAAATTCATCAAAGTCGTTTCTAATCCTTCGGACGAAATTAATAAGAGACTTATACAATTCTAAAACAATGGAGATATTGTAAGCGGCGCGTAAATAATTACCGCGATACGCAATGTCCGGCGTTAGCGTCGTTTCCGACACCCGTGCGGTGCTGCCACCGTAGCATATAGGGTGGCCAAAAGATATGCGCGCGCATGCGAGCGCGACCGCGGGCCGGAGGCCGTTAGATTTGAAGTCGAGGAGAACGACTCTCCTTTGAGAAGTGCGAACGAGCAGACGTGTTAGTAAATCGTGCGCATGAGAGTACTTTCGAGAAGTGTCAAATTGTAGAAGCATTCCGATCGTTATTAAATCTTTATTACTAAAATCAGTGTCAGTTGAATTTCACCTAACAACGCTCCAATCCTGGCGAGAACCTTTTGCAGTGCGTACGGGCTCCTGTGGCATCCAATTCGCCTTTAAAATTTAGTCTTAAACATCGGTTACTTGACGTACAGAGAACATTCGAGAAGTTTCCAGACGAGGATCCAAAGGAAAGAGACTAACGTTTAACTCTCGAGTCATTTGAAAATAGTAACGCAGACTTTTACAATATCAATATCTATACTTTGTAGTTTCTTGCTTGATGCGTTTAATCTTCAAAGTAAAGTGCCCCAAAATACAGCCATAAACGCGGTTTCCAATCGTTCTAAACGAATTCGCAATCCCTTTGCTTCACTTCTGGTTATATTTTTTTCTGCTGCGTTATTTTCAATGAAGGATAAAGCTTCAATAATCTCCAACCAAGATTCATTCAAACTTCGGCAAGCGTCATCTCTAGCAGACCATCGTGTTGTTGACAATCGCTTCAGTGTTAGTTTGGCTTTCATATATGATTGTAATATTTCCCACCGGTGTGTGGATGCCGAGAAAAAATTAAAAAGTTCCTGGAGGACACCGAAAAAATTTGTTGCTTCAGTACAACAACTTGCGGCACAGTTTCCTACGAGATTTAAAGAGTGGGCAGCACATGATACATACTCAGCTAAAGGATTTAGTTCTTTGATTTTCATCTGAAGTCCCGAATAAGCACCAGACATATTAGCAGCATTATCATAAGATTGGCCTCTACAATTAGATATGTCAATTTCCAAATCAATAAGTATTTTACTGACGGTTTCTGCTAATTCCTCTTATGCGCACGATTTAATAACACGTCTGCTCGTTTGCACTTCTCAAAGGAGAGTCGTTCTCAAGGTGTGTAATAGGCATGGGACTCCTGTAAGTGGAAAACGTGAGGCAATAGAAAGAGAAAGAATATGAGACGCCCATCTTTATCCTTGTCTAACGTTGCGCGCGCATCAAGCTGAATGGAGTTGAGTGGGGAGGTATCGTTGAGACTACTGAGGGGGTTTTTTTTTAACCTACAATATGGTGTTGTAGCTAAGAATTTATTAATCTTGCATATAATTTTATGCATTTATTCGGATTCAGTCAGATAAATAAAGAAGAGGAGAAATTAAATTGACGCGCTGTGACACAATCATAAAGAAAAATGACAAGAACGTGTATTGTGTGTAAAAAGCAACCTATTCCGTTTAATATATCTCGAAGTTTTCACAAGTAAGTTTATTAAATATTGATAAATTTATTATTTGAAGTGTGTATTATCAAAATACCTTAACCTAAAATTCATATGAAAATACCAAATATTATTCTATATTTGGTATTTATTCAGATTAGCTGCTCCACCTCCGATTTTAACTATATTTAATTTTGAATTACAGTTTTCCCGTTAATGTTGAATTAAAAAAGAAGTGGATGGAAGCTATTGGTGTGACGACAGTTTGTAAGTCAGCCAGTATATGTAGCGACCACTTCTATGAAGAATCATTTCATCAGACTGATGGATATACAACTTTGAGACGTTTAATATCAACTGCTGTCCCTTTTAATCGAAACACTAATCAATTATCTTTACCAATTAACAACGTATCTACTCAAGCACTTGGTGACATAACGAATCATCAAGATATGACAATAAGTGACGAAAATACATTTTCAACAAGTACGGATACTAATAACGGAGACAACTTTGAAACACATGATAATTTAAGTCCCAGAAACAATAATAAAAGGTACATTAGAATTTTTGTAAAATTTTTTACTGCTAAATATTTTAAGCTTAATATTTTATAAAATAATTGTATTATTAATTGTATTATTGATGTTTAGAAAATCATTTGTTGTCGACATTCACCCAAAAAAAATTTGTTTTATGGTCGGAAGTCAGCCAGAGTCTTTTTCAAGAGAGCACTTTGCTTCAGATGAAGCTTGGGAGCGATTTGTAAGAGTTATGGCTTCTGAAAAATTGAAGAAATCTGCTTCCCATATGAAGTTATTTAGGAAAGAAAAAATAAATAATAATATAAAAGAACTAATCAAAACCATGAAGAAGAAACAGTTTTCTGAGGCTGCTGAATGTTTACAGGTAAATTTGTAATTATACGTTGCAGTGCAGTTTCAACATACATTTCAATCATATTTTAGGCGATTTTTGGTGATTGTCTGGTATATGTACCAAGGTATACCAAAGTATACCAGAACATTCTCAAGGTACCAGAATAAGCTCCACCCTTACCAATAATAACCTTGGTACATATACCAGATGATCGCCAAAAATCGCTTATTATGTAATAGAAAAATTCATGTAACTTTTTACTGTAATACTTAAATTGTACATACTTCTATTTCAATCAATTGTATTTTAATGATTAATTATTTTTATGTGAAATGTACTTTGTACTATAATTGTATTATAAAGTGTATAATTGTGAGAGAAATTTAAATATACGATCATTAGCATTATATATTTCAGTCTATTGAACTATGTTAATATGCATTGTTTATTTTCACTTAGTATAATGCTTTTATTTTTAAGTTTGATTAATTATTTTATAAATAATGGTACAGTTATAAGAACTGTACATTTTGTAAGAAACAGTAAAAAAAATCTGTATTTTAATCATTTTTTTATATTATAAAACGATTGTGATTAACTTAAAATATTTAAAATTTTTTGTAACTACTTTTTTCTTTTAATTAGGAATTACCTGAACACTTACAAGAATTGATATTTCGTATAAAAGAAAAACAAACCACAACTGCGTTTCCTGTTCAATTAAAAAATTTTGCCAGAACCTTACATTTTTACTCTCCAGCTGCTTATGAATTTGTGAGACAAAGCTATCTCAAGTGTTTACCTTCCGTCAAATCACTCAGTAATTGGTTGTCTTCAAAAAATTATAAACCAGGTATATCCAAAGAATTAATAGAACACGTGTCAAATATGGTAAAGCAAGAATTTCAGAAAGGCAAAAAGCTTATTTTTAATGTTACGTTTGACGAGATGAACATCCATAAATGGAAACATTGGGATAGAAATGCTCACAAATGGAAAGGTGTTGTCGATTCAGGTGGACAGTTGGATGAAATTGACAATAACAACGAACTGAAGATAGCTACTAAAGCATTAGTTTTTATGCTAGTCTGCATTAATAGGTCCTTTAAAACACCCATTGCACATTATTTAATCAATTCTGTAACAGGTAAAGAAAAAGCAATACTTTTAAAAGATTTATTAATAAAACTTAGTCAAAGTGATATTGATATATATATATATAAAAGATATATGTATATTTTGATATATGTATATCTGTATTACAATATTTTCTTCACTGTTCGAGCTTCGTTAGCAATATGATATTATATATAGGTATTTGGAAAATTGTAAAATAATTACTACAATTTTTTTAATTTTATACAAATTTAATGAAATTATTAGCTCAGTATTATTTACAAATAAATACAAAAACAAAACAGATGATTCCGAGCCATCACGGTTGGTGGTGCGTTGATCTCGTAGAGTAGAATTTTAAGAATTCGATATTTTAATTACGTTTTAATTTTATGTTATACAATACACATACACACGAACATATAAAATATATACAAACGGTTTTAAAAAATTTTTTTATTTTCTCTTTTTAGTTCATGCTTTCACTGCCCCCTTATGTTTATTTAACGCCCCCCCCCCCATTGCATCTGAAACTACTACCGCCCCCCTAATCATTTCATCGCCCCTTAGGGGGCGATATCGCTCACTTTGGGAACCATTGTTTTAAATTAATAATATTTAATTGACGTAAGACTTGTCGTTTGAATGCAATATTTAAAAGAAATTTATAAAGTACATATTATAGAAAATGTTCAATTAATAATAGCATTTCGGTACTTTGTGTGTGTGTGTATGTGTATGTGTGTGCGCGCGCGCGCGTGTGTGTATGTAAGTACAACAAAAGTTACTAAAAATACTTTACCATTATCAGGTTCATCAATATAACGAATATTTTCCTTAATTGTATCATCCTTAGAATACTGAGTTATATTTTTTTGCATATTACTTGTAATGTTTACAGGTTTTACTGCATTTTTTTATTGCTATCGCGAATAATCCTTTTTGCATTTGTTCCAAGTGGTTTCGCAGTTATGCACATATTCGCATCTATTTTTAAAATAATATTTAAAAATTTTTATTTTTAAAGATATATTTATTTTTTAAATTATATGTACTTATTTTTAAAAATTATATATATATATTAATTTATTTATTTATAAAATGTTTTTTTTTTATTCAGAATTGAAAAAGTATACCGGTACAATCAGATATAACAGGAAAGTGTATCGAACATCCATCTTCATTGTTCAATGAAATTTCAGTAAATGATACATTTTGTGCTTCACTTGTACTGATGAGAGATTTTTTTTGTGTCTTATTTATTTGTTCCTCGAGATTAGTATCAAAATCCTTTTCTTGTACTTTATTTATTATTTTACATGAAGGTCCTGGATTCATGCGTTTATTGACGTCCTTTTCTAAAACAAAATTATTTTTTTTTATTTTTTAAAAATATTTATGAGTGTCTCATAACACGCATTACATCTTTCATGAGCGGATAGAAAGGACTAAATTTAATCAAAAAGTTTTGTAACATTTTGTAATGTTTGTAATAATTAAAATGTATACATTTATTCGCAGATCTTTACTAAAATTAATTTCTTGTTAATTATTGCAAAAATTGCAAAATATTTTTCTAGTCAATTTAATCCATGTTTTTTACTGCACGAGTAGTGTGCTATTCCTTTATCGAACACTCTGTGTGTATGCGTGTGTACATTGCATACACACAGGATGTCTAATGAGATGTGTGTGTAAAATATTTTTTCCATGGATTTTGAAAACTTACTTATGTTATCAGAATCAGGTAGAGTAGGAAAATCTGCTGAATTTGAAATTTCATCATCCGATTATAGACCTTCCATTCCGAACGCGGCAAAAATACAGGCGCCTTTACACAAACTCACCGCAGGAGCGAAGAAGAAGGATAGAAGACCAATCGAGTGGACCACCAGCACAGAAGAGGCATTCAGAAGCTGCAAGGAACAACTGGTAAACACAGCAATGCTGGCTCACCCAGTAGAAGGAGCACGACTTTTCTTGGTTACGGACGCTTCAGACCTTGCCATGGGAGCAGCTCTAGAACAAATAAATGAAGGAAAACGTCAGCCACTTGGATTTTTCTCGAGAAAACTCATAGAAACACAGACGAGATATAGCACATACGATCGTGAGTTATTGGCTATGTACACTGCTATACATTATTTTAAATACATGATTGAAGGCAGAAAAACAATAATATTCACGGACCACAAGCCGTTGACGTATGCTTTCGACCAGCGACCAACCAAAGCCACGCCACGACAACAAAAGCACTTGGATTTCATAGGCCAGTTCACGACAGATATACGACACATCTCAGGCCTGGACAACAGCGTAGCTGACGCACTATCACGGATGAACGACATCACGTTGCCTGTCATCATCACGACAGAGGACATAGCGGCGGAACAGCAGACGGACGAGGAGCTTAAAAGCCTCCTCAAAAATCCAGGTGAACTGCAATTAAAACAATTACGATTAGAGGGTACGGAAACCACAGTATACTGCGACGTATCAACGGACAGCATCAGACCTTACATTCCAAAACCCCTAAGAAAGAGGATCTTCGATGTCGTCCATAATACAGCTCACTCCAGCGGCAGGGTGACTAGGAAGAACATAGCGTCCAAATTTGTGTGGCCGGCCATAAACAAGGACATCGGCGAATGGGCTCGTACATGCCTGCAATGTCAAAGGGCCAAAATTAGCAGACATGTTAGAAGGAAGCCGGAACACATTAAAGTACCAGAAGAGAGATTCGCACACATATACTTGGATATCGTAGGACCACTACCACCATCACGAGGTTACCGTTACTGTCTAACGATGATCGACAGGTTTACCAGATGGCCGGAGGCGGTTCCGATTTCAGACATCACCGTGGACACCATTGCAGACGCATTTTTCGGATCCTGGGTAGCACTATTCAGTTCACCAACAGTCATCACAACCAAGGGCGTCCGCAGGGGGGGCAAACCGGGCACTTGCCCCCCCTGGAAAAGCAAATTTTTTCACAAATTTATGTTTTTTGAAGCTTGTTTGAAATTTCTGCTTAACAAATTAAATCATGTATTAATTTGTGAAAAATTATTAAAATTTGTTATAACGATAAAGCTGCCCTTTCATACAGCGAATTTTTCGTTGCGTGAATTTGCACTTTAATTTGTTATTTGCTAGCAGAGTTGCAAGATTCCAACCTGTGAGTCACAGAGTCATGGCGATGGGGGAGCACGCACACAGCGAGAAGGCATGTCCGTAGATGCCGGAGCGCTCACGGACACGTCTTCTCACTGTGTGCCGTGCTCCCCCACCGCTATGACTCTATGACTCTCGAGTTGGAATCTTGCAACTCTGGTCGCTAGGCGTCGCATGCTTACAGCGCTTTACTCGTATGCAAAGTACAGCCATGAATATTATAAGTAGACAGCTCTAGAAGCTGTTCGTTTACGCAGTGTGAGTTACGTTACGTGGCTCTCCTTTCTCTTACGCTGATTTTTAAGGCCCGCGACTATTTGCGAATATTAAAATTTTATACATTGATTAATTGTTTAATCCTTGAAAATGAATAAAGATATAAGATCGTTTTTTAAAAAACCCAGACTTGAAAATGATAGTTCTCAAGAAGAATCTTTTCCTTCCACCTCCATGCCATCAGTTAGTGTTTGCTCTTTCAATGATCCTTTCACATCAGTTCAAGATACTCTTACTGCCGATATAATCGTTTCTCAAAATTTTGAAAAATACGACATAGGACATTATATTAATTTAAAATTATCTAACGAGCAGAAATATGACGTAATGACTAATATTTGGGTTCCTTCGGAAAAATATAATTTTAAAAATGAAGGGCAACAGCGAAATTTTTGTGCCGATTGGTTAAAATTATATTCATGGTTAGCATACTCTGAAATTTCTGGAGGTGGTTTGTGCAAATTTTGCGTTATTTTTAAACAAAATGTACATAGAGGTTTTCAAGGTGCTTTTATTATAAAAGCGTTTAACAAATATAAGAAATTCCACGAAGCTGCACATAATCACGAAAAATCACAATGGCATATAAGTGCCGTTGAAGATGGTACGAATTTTCTTCATATTATGCAAAATAAAAAAGTATGCATTATTAATCTAATTTCCGATTCCAGAGCTAAATTAATTGAAATAAATCGAAAGAAACTAGAGCCCATTATATCTATAATTGTCTTTTGTGGTACACATGATC